CCACCTTCTTTCAGCACTGCGCCAATCGCACAGCCCCGCCCATTCCACGTCAGCTGAGTTTGCGGTTGCAAAGCCGTTTTCAAGATGACTCTGACGCCGCAGCAACAGAATTCGAACGGATCTGGTTCATATTAAGCTCCATCTGCCAAGAACATTTGTGGACCGAGCGGAACTCGGCGGTCTTTAGAGGAGCCGTGACTACTCCATCCGCAAGTGTCCAAATGTACTGGACACGCGGTGTTCGCCAGCTACGGGCAATTGCAATACGCGAGCATCGAGCCGCGGCTACGGCCGTACGAGGGGCCCGACTTCATGCCTGTCTTGAACTTCTGATTCAAGAGCCCCGTGGACACCCGCCCTACGCGGGTGTCAGCCACGATCCGCTGCCGCGACCGGCGCTCATATCCTGGCTCAGGATTTTTCAGACCTCTTGTCCACATTAAATATGTCAATAGATGATCATGAAACTCCTCCTCAATGAACGACGTTCCCAATCAATCGGTCGAGATATTTCGACGTTCGGACGAAGGTCGCACACGGTCACGTGAACGTGCAGAGAGAAACAAAAGAGAGAGAGAGAGGCGGGGGGGGGAAGAGGAGAGGGGCTGTAGAGAGAAGATGGCCACGTGCTTCCGCCTGCTGCTGTTGCTGCAGGTGTTTGTTTTTTACCAGCAGAAAAGTGTCACAAATCAATGGTGTCGATGCACGCGCGTGGGGCAGTCGGGACGGCTGCGTCCTCTCCTTGTGCGACGTCTGTGGGGGGCATCCAGACCAGTCACCATGTGGAAAGCGTGTGAAATGGGCAGACAAACAGACAGACGACAGCCAACGACGACCGTGCGATGCGGAATGGATCCCAAGACTCGTCGTAGCCCGAAACCGACATCCTACCAATCCATACCCACAAGAACGACCCCATTTTCCTCTAAAGCTGATGAGTCAGTGGGCCCTGCCGATCGAGCAATGATCACTGCCCACCCACACATATCCACACAACGCTCTTCTACATAGACACCCGCCGTACTTGTCTCGGCCACGTGCGACTGCCACGGAAAGTCGAGTGGATCAGCTTTCATTGCCACTCGCCGTGTCCTCCTGTTCAAATATCGAGCACATCTCATCAACTTCGCACCGTCCATGACAACCGACGACGTCTGTCCGACTGAAGGCCTGTAGAAACACAAAGCTTCTGTTCGGGAGCCCCCCCCCCGCACGCACGGCACTGGGTTTACAGACAGTCAGCATGGTCGAGGCAGACAGCCCTGAGGATCCTGGTCGGGTCCATCGCAAGCGCGCGATGGCAAATCGCTGATGCCATCAAGCTGGAATTCAGGAACAGGTGGCGAAGGCTGGGAAAAACAAATCCGAGCGCCCGTCCTGGCTGATTTCCACGCCACCGACGATCGATCGATCGATCGATCGATCAACCACATGTACCCGGACGGACGGACAGTCTCCTGACCTTCTACGCACCCACGCAGCCACATTGCTACGCGGCCGTCATCGTCATTATCATCATCAACGTCCTCTTCATTCACTTTGTTTCTTGCTCGCTCCTTGTCCAACATGACACGCTACGTGCGACTCGTGGGTACTGCCACTGCAATAACGGCCCTCTTCACACGTGGGGTGTCCACAACAACAACAACAACAACAACAACAACGGGGACAAGTACAAGTCCACGAGTTACTAATCCGCCGGTCGACACCGACGAACTGCCATTGTCGTCGTCGGGTACAACTGCTCTAGCCAATCTGCCATCGCTGAAGCTCCATGTCGACCTGCATCGAACGGCCATGGCCTTGTACGGCGACACGGAGTTTGATGTATTGGCGACGCCCGTGTTGTCGAAAGATGGCACGCGCGTGCGCTACGACGGCTACGCTTCGTTTGTGGCCAGCCACTTGTGCATGACGTACGCCCTCGTGGGCGGGGCGCCGTATTTGATGACGAACGACAGCTCGTCGAATGCCGAAACTGTGCAGTGCATTCCGTCGTGTCAACTGCCGTTTGACGATATTCTGCCGGCGGTGAATCGAGCGACTTCGATCCCAAGTGCATCGATTGGGGGGAACCCCATTGAGTGTGCAGGCGGTGTGCTCTTGAAGACTTCGTTTGGCGGCATTCGGTACGCCATTTGCGCAAAAGGGCGCGAGGGGTTCACGGCGTATGCGAGCGACGTGACCATTGACGTCAAGTACCTCAAGCGCGCGGTGGTTGTCCCCGACATGAAGTTACCGAACGGGTCGACATGTGAGACAGTGGCCAAAGCCACGGCATTGACCCCAACGGGTCTCGCACTGGTCACTGGGAGCGACGTGCCGAAACCGCGTTCGAGGAAGCTCACGGCCGCGGCCCACCTGGCGATGCAAGGCTCGTCCTGTTCGTGTCAATCCACGCGTCGGCCGTGCCTGTTTTTCCACGGCCTGGGCAACGAAGTAGAGGAACCAGGTGTGCTGAAGTCGTCGCGGCATTTCGGATGGGACAAGATTCAAGGCCATGCCCCGTGCTGCACGTCGATCGAGTACGTGTCGCTCAACACCGTCGACTACGCCTGGACGAGCTCTATCCTGCAACAAAAGGTGTGTGACCGCGCGTTGTCCATGTCAGCGTCTTCGGATGCCTCGTCGCGGACAATCCGAGACACGATCTTGGTCACGCACTCGATGGGTGGGCTCATGCTGGCGGGGGCACTTGCCAACGGAAGGTGCCACCTCGCCCCGAGCTCGACGTGGGTTGCGCTCAGTCCTCCTATGATTGGCAGCATGGCGTCCGACCACCTCGTGGACTACTGCAAGCACGAAGTCCAGAACCTCGCGGTGGACATGATGTTCAACGGCAAGTGCCCCGTGCCCAAGTCCACGCGGTCTATTGTCTACGCGACAGAAAAGTACAGCAGCAAGCGGTTGGACGCTGCGTACGTTGCTGCTCAAGCGGCCTACCGCAAGCACGTGTATGCTGCCATGTGCAGCAGCTCGTACGTTGGCAACATTTCCAAGTTCCAGTTTAAGTACATTATGGGCGGCAGCATGATCCCGCACAAGTCTTCCGAGAACGACGGCCTCGTGGAGTTTGCCAGCTGCGCCGGTGGCATTCCACTGTCAGAGTTTGGCAAGACGCCGCACGACAGGTTCTACAGGTGTGAGTTGAACCACGCGGACACGGCGTTCAAGACGGGTGACGGGCTCTTTAAGAGCACGGTTCGACCGGTAACGTGGTTTGAATGCCTGCTGTAACCAAGTTGCAAGTGTAGGTGTGGGATCACTCTTGCGCGTGTTCGGGATGGAAGTGGATGCGTTTGTTTGGCACGAGCGAGTCAGTTGACATGGAGGGAGGACCTCTGGAGCATGGCACAGATAGAGGAGAAGGTCTACGACAACCATTTTGCAGGTGGATTCATTTGCATTGTATTTATGGTAGGTAGGTATGGGTAAGCTGTGCTTCGAAACGGTCCCTCGTTCGTTCGTTCGTTACGGCGTCTCGATTGACCACACTCTCCTTGTCCAATGCGTTCGGCCACTTTGGGCTCCAGCTTCCTGCCATCCTGTGTAAGTCAAAGGCTCGTATGGTCCGAAGGCGGCGCCACGCCAGAAAGCTTTACACCTGCAGAATGCGTGTCAAAGTGCCCCAGCTTGGTCTCATCTGTCTTGCGGTGCAATGGCTCTTGGTGGAAGTGCATCATGTACTGCGATGTAACGACGATGCGACAAACTGGTCAAGTAGCTTCTTCGACTGATCCGACGGTCGATCGAAACACAGTCGTCGCATCTGCACGTGAAAAAGTCATGGCTGCTGTGATCGTGTGCGTACCATACCATATGAAGAGCCAGCGAGCGTCTCTTGCAGCCGACACTCTTTGGAAACCAGCGAAAACAGGTGGGGACAGCCAACCAAACAAATTGCCAAGCAATCGTGAGCGGCTCGAATAGCTGTGCACGCAAATCACAACAGCACAGCGTGTTCCCAGTACACTGCACCAACTCGCATCGCTATGTTCAGTGCTCCAAAGTTCCAGTATCGACGCACCATCCGTTGCTTGCGCTTTGTCTTGCTCGAGAGAAACAGGATCCGTTTCTGCGCCATTAGAGACACTCGATCGTACTGCTGCTTCAAGCGGGTTGACGTCGCAAAAGTCCATCAGAGCAACGAGTTGCCGAAGGACTGACCCAAGCGAACACGATACCACGTACGAAGCAACACTTCGACCGTGACTCGACGCTCGGCCGCTCCAATGCTTTTTTATTGATTGTTTGTACCTTGCGGCGATTGTAAGAGCTACGGAGCATATGCATATGCCGACTTCATGTCGAGAGTCAGCATCCAGCAACCAATTTGTTATGCATGCACCGGCTTCCGATGACTCAAACGTGATGACTCAAACGTGACTGCATGCCTTCTTGCAGTCGATGCGTCGAGCGCAAAGCAAAGCGCCGCGCCACAACTCCATACACTGAGCTTGACCAGGCCCACTTCGTCTTTTCATTGCCGATATAGCCGTCGCCTTGCACTTCTTCCATCCTTTCAGACGATGCTAAAGATGCAAGGCATGCCGTCTCCTATGCCGACGTCACACATTTCGCTCAGCGGCAGTGGTGCTGCAAGGAAAAATCGTACATGACGTCCACAAAATAGTCGGCAGTCGAGTCGTCGCTATCGTACAGATCCAGAAACCGAATGTGGCGCGCCGACGACACATCCGAGCCGTAGCTGCACGGATAGTCGTCCACAAAGTCGTACTCCATCATCAGCGCACGATCTTCCATGCCCTCGTGAGCACTGCAGCTTGTTGACGGCTCGTCACTGTCGCTCTTGACACCCTTTTCTCGCGCTTCGATCTGCGCATTTGCTTTGGCTAACGCCTGTACCTCAGCAGCACGTCGGCGCGCCATTCGTTGTGCTTCAGCTTCCTTCAATTCCGCTTCAATCTCGTGGCAGTAATACTGACGCAACTCATGCAATGAATCGAACGGAATCGTTCCGATGAACGACTTATCCATTGCAAGGCGAAGGAGCGTATCGCAAACGCATTCGTCCCGATTGAGCAGTCCAGACCGATACGGTGCTGTCAATTCCTGCAGCGTTTCGTGCGAGAGCTTGAACATCTCATACACGTCCAAAGCATCGTGGCATGCCATAATCCGCGGTTGATTCAGCTTCAAGAGCACAAGGCCCACGCGCAGGAGCACGTGACTGCCTTCGCAAAAAAACACGTCCCAAATCCGCATCACGGGCTCAAACGGCAGCGTGTTCAGAAACAGACACAAGAACCACTTGAGCGTAAACGGCTCAAAGTCCACACCGAGCGTCTGCAAGTGACCCGCAAGCACCGGCAGCTTCTGCGTCACGAGGTCCGAAAACACGCGCTGGTCGGCCCGACTGCCAGTCATCGTCAGTGTGTGATACTGCGGCGTCAGCTCCTCGACAATCGCAGCGAGCACCCAAAACGCCTCTTCTTCGCCCATCTGTTGCAGCAGCACAGCTGCCAAGAAGTTCATGCTCTGGCAATAGCCCACGGTCGGATTCCGGAGCGAATAGGCCTGCAAGACCCGTCGCAGTTCGCCAAACGGGTCCGCTTCTGCTCCTTCTTGCGACGCGTTCATCGACTCGCTCAGCGCCAGTGGAAACGTCCGCGGCAAGTCCTTCTCAATGTCCATCTCGGCGCACTTGGTCAATGTATGCAGACGGTGCAAAAGCGACGGGTACGACTCGGCGGCGGCGTGGCGCAGCTCGGCCGCTCCGCTGCACACCCACCAGACCGGTCCCCGCAAGTGCGGCGGCACACCGGCTTTCAGCATGGCGTCCAGCTGGCGCGATTGCAACAGGAGCTCGGCCGCGGTCGTGAACGCCGAGAATGCGTTTTTGACCACTTGGGCCGGCATTTTCGACGACTCGGCTGCCGCGTCAAGAGTGGTGTCCAATGCGGACGTGAGAAACCGCTTGTGATTGGCTCGCCATTTTTGACACACGCGCGGAGACGACCAATCACGCGCCGCGAACCGCTCGCGCCATTTTGCCTGACGCAAACGGGACAAGTGCTCGGCCGCGTCCAACTCGCTCGCGGACCGGCGCTCAGTCTGCACGAGACACTGCAGCACGTGGCGCTCGCAGCTGCACGCGAGCGCTGTCGCTACGTCGTCGTCAACGTCGTCTCCTTCTTCTTCTTCTTCTTCGCTGCGCTTCTCGTCGGTGTCCAGCGCCCGCGCCGCTCGGGACGCCGTAGTCGATAGACGAAACCGACGCGTCGGTCGGAAACACGCGAGCTGCTGCCCGTGCGCAGTGGTCATTATTGTCGTCTGTAGGTGACGCGACTCGGAGACTGCTTCAACCGCCACGGGCGCTGCTGCTTTGTCTCTGGCCGAGTGTGAGTCAGTGAGTGTGGGAGTGGGTGTGCGTGTGTCGCATAGGGCGGTCGTGTCGCCGAGCGTGTCCGCTAAAGTACGACACCGACGCTGCTCGTGTTCGATCAAGTACGAAAAACCGACACCTCGTGTCAAAAACACAACACGGTCGATGCGTGGCGCAAAGTGTCGCGCGACTGTGTGTGTGTGTGTCAAGTACTGTTGGTACCGGTTGCTTGTCGGTAGTGGTACGAGTGCCAGTCGGTACGTGTGACAAAACACGGTAGGGAGTAAAAGGAGCCTGACGAAAACGATGCTGCACCGCTTGTTGTCGGCGGGTGCGCGGCCGCTGCGCCGCTCGTTGCACGCGTCGGCGTCTCGTTCGTTTCTCGTGCGGTCGCTCGACGACGTGCGGCAGAGCTCTCGCGTCGTCACGAGTGGTGCAAACAATGCGCTCGAGACGCGGTACGTGTGTGTGTGTGCGTGCCCCGTGCGCCGCTACCTCTCTCTCTCTCTCTCTCTCTGTTTAATACCCTGTCATACTTAATACTGACTCTTTAATCTGATCTTAGCCGCTACCTCGTCCGCAACGACGAGTGCGGGTTCTCAATGCAGCAGGAAGTGCTGCAGAAAGGCGCGTCCGTGCGGCTCGCGTTTCCGAACCACGTGTTTGCGCTGCTGGTGACGCGCGGCGAGGGCCGTGTGCGGCTGCTGGACGGACACGACGGCTCTGGTCAGACGACGCATAGTGTGGCCGAAGGCGCTCTCGTGGCGCTCAATGCGGCCGAAGCGATCGAACTCGAAGCAGTGAGCGACGAGCTGCACGCCGTGAGCGTCATGAACCCGCCGCTGTATGGCGTCGAGCAGGCGCACGCGACGACGGGCGTGTTCCCGGCCGTCGACGCCGATGGCGAAGAGCTCGAGAGCTTTGACCTCGCGGGCGTCAGTCGTTTGTTTACAGCGCCCGAGTCGCTGAAAGGCGGAAGTGCGCCGATGAAAGACGACCCGCTGTTCTGATACGGGGCGAGGGGGCAGCTGGGGGGGGACGAGGGCCGGGGACAAGGGCTGAAGGTGCAGTGGACGCAGGTGCGAGTCAAGACGGCCGATGGTGTGGATGGTGAAGATGGAGTGATGGAGTGGAGCAGGTGATGGAGTGGAGCAGGTGATGGCGTGATGAAGTGATGGAGTGGAGGTGGATGGTGACGGCGCTCTATTGTTTGAGTGATTGCCGGTCCATTTGTCAGTGTATGCTGTTCGTAGAGAGGCGCGCAGTCGACTTGAGAGGAAGAGTGGATGTGTCTTGCGCTGGCAGCCGAGTGAACACGACGTTGCGGCTCCACAAGTGCCGTGTTACAATTCCTCGGTCGGTCTCGTTGCGCTGCTCTGCCGTTACTGCCGCAATGGGTCTGTAGTAGTGATCGCAGTCCTCGTGTTGGTGCTGGTGTTGGTTTTGCGACAGCTACAGCCACTGCGACAAGAGCAATGGGCTTGCCGCGGTCTCGATGGACAGGGTACTCGAGCCATCTACACGTTGCCGTATTTCCGTGACGAGACGTGCGTGCACACACACGCACACCGCGTCGGGGTTTCGTCAGCACAGAAGCTACGTCATCCTTGGATGCATAGCTTCGTAGAGAAACCCGACCGCCTGTGTGTACACAGAGGGGTCCCGTGGGTCGTAGTGCGCGCCCTCTACCCGCAGCATCGTGCACGGTCCCGCGTACTTGCGCGCGAGCTCTTCGCTCTGTTCGCTCGACACGTAGCGATCCCCACTGGCCGTGATAAACAGCGCCGGCGCGTAGCAGAGCTCGACAAAGTCCACGGGCCGCAGCAGTTCCATGTCGACGTCCGTGCGCTTCTTGACGCTCTTGTGGATCGCTGCCGTCGCCACTCGCAAGACCGTCTTGGGCACAGCAAAGCCCTCGTCCTGCATTTCCCGCAGCACGCCTTCGTTCACGTCCTTTATCGACGCGTAGCCGCCATCGAGCACCAGCGCGCGGATCGGCTTGAGCCGCTGTCGCGACTCGGCGGTCCGCAATGCATGCGGCAGTGTCTGGAGCTTTGCCTGCATCGTCTTACTCGCTGCGCCAGCTGCTCGAATGGCGACGTTCGTCACGGCAGGGAACACGCCCATGCTGTGGGCATAGAGACAGACGTCCGAGACCGACGCGTCGCGCTCGACGCTCTCGAGCACTGCCACGAGGTCCGTCGCTTCGTTCCAGCCCATGGTCACGTACACGCCGTCCGAGAGGCCCGAGCCGCAGCAGTCAAAAGCCAACACCGAGAAGCCGTACTCGAGCGCCGCGTCTCGAACCCGCAGCGCGTCCTGCCGCGAGCCAATGTTCGAGTGCAAGTAGACGAGACACGACGTGACAGCCGGCGACGCCCTCGTGCTGCTGCTCGTAGCGCCAGTCGCGCGCTGAGGTCCGCACGGGAAGAGCTGCCAGTGCGAGCAGCGCACGCGCAGCCCGCGCTCGTTCACGACCGCAAAGTCCCGACGCCTCGTCTCCATTGCGGTGCGGCCGTTCGGCTGTGCGCTTTCACTGTCCGTCGTGCGCAGTGCGACGTGGAAGCGCGCGGGGCCGAGTTCCTGGACGTCGTACAGCGCCCGGTGCGGGCGGATCAGGAGCTGCACCACGTCGCGGTAGCCCTGGCCCAGCAGCTGCTTGACGCTGGCGTCGCCCGTGCCGCCGAGTCGCTGGAGCTCGGCCTCCATCTCACCGTCGGCAAAGATCGCCATCTCACTCGACACGCCGTTGCCCATAGTTGACAAACACGTCGTCAATTGATTTGTCAATTGGTCTGTCTGTTAGTCAGTTGGTCAATTGGTCAGTTGGTCAATTGGTCAGTTGGTCAATTGGTCAGTTGGTCAATTGGTCAGTTGGTCACTTGGTCAGTCGATTGACGCCGACTGATGTTGAAATGGTGACTCATCTTGTGCTTTTTTGGTCGTTGAGGGGTTTGGTTGTCGACTTGAGGTGGCGGTGTCTGTGTCCGTGGGTGTGGGTGCGAGAGTCAGAACGAAACCGGTGGTGAAGCGGTATGGATTTGGATGGGAGGACGAGGGACGATAGTGTGTTTCTCGACGCATGACGCAGCGTTAAGTGCGGCATAGAACGAGGACGGAACGTGGCGCGACGATTCGGTCGCGCGTTGCATTTCTTTGCCAGTGTTTTGGGCTCGCAAACGTCACGAGGGTATGGACGAGAGGAGTTTGAGGGACAGATGGGGACAAAAGAAAGGCAATGGGTCGATGGATGGATCGATGGATGGATGGACGACGTTTGCTTTCTTGTCGATACGTCGTGACGACGTCGTACGGACGATGCGAAGAAAGGCGAGCGACGAGTGTGCGTACGTGACGTTTGGTAGTGACCGAAGATATAACGAGGATACAGCAGGCGCTAGTCGAGAGAATGACGTGATGGATGGACAGCTCGACGGTGGCTATCGGCAGAGAAAGCTTCTGCTTGTATGGACTTGCGGTCGCCTGTTTCTAGAGACGTGCGGCAACGTGGCGTGACGCGTCGGATCGTGTCCCTTGCATTCGACAGTGGTCGGGATCGAGCAGACCACCGACGGGTTGGGCTTTCCATAGTTCCAGTTCGTCGACTGACTCGACACGCACCTGCCAAGACATGGCATGTGTGCATCTCTCGTCGGTCTCAGGGGTCTGTTGGAGCTGACTTTATTGCGTCGAGCGGCCTCTTTCTGCCTCGATCGTCACGTGGAGAGGGCGAGTAACAGTTCGGACAAAAGCGTTTCGCGACCGTTTGTCGATATCGATCCCGTCGTGTCCGTTACAACAGTGTGAGGCCTTTACCGGCACGATGACCTGTGCGAGACGACAGATGACCCGATTGCATCAGCCCACGCGAGTTGCTGGCAGCCATCAAGTTCGTTCGGAACAACAATGGCGAGCGAGGGCGAACGACCGTTTCCACTCTACCAGATACTCGTGTTCGTAGGCACTCGTCGTCAAAGAAGTCACGTGTGTCCCAACCGCAATCGTGCACCGACATCGTGCGGGCACGTACGAGCTCTCTCTTAGGTGGGAGTAGCACACTCCACTCTCTGGCAAAAAAAAAGTGGTGACCCCACAAGAGCAGGACGGCCCGACTCGGGTCGCAAAACTCCCATACCCCCCGCTAGGGTCCACACCCGCGTAACACTGCCAACCTTCCGTCCCCACCTCGTGCACAGTGCAACAGACCCCAACAAGACCGACAGAGTCCGCGAACCACACCAGCTCCGAAACGACACGTTGCGACGACACGACGCACAAGCGCTCGTCGTTTCGATCCAGACGACCCAAACCACAAACCACAAATAACACACCACAAATAACACCCCCAACACCCCTCTCCCTCTCTATCCTGATGGCTACACCCTCGAGCCCCGCGTCAACTTAGTCGAAACCCGTCCCACTCTGCGTCAGTCCTGTTCACGCCATGACAACGTCCTGTCCGTCCTGCGGCACCGGCGCCCCGCCCGGCAGCCGCTTCTGCGGCCACTGCGGCCACTATGTGCCGCCCACTGCTCCTGTCGCAGCGTACGTGTCGAACGCCACCAGTCGCCGGCCGCCGTCCCCCGTCCGCAGGCGCGTCGCGTCGACCGCTCTCACGTCGCCGCCAGCGACTCGACCGAAGCCGAAGCAAACGGACCGACGCCACGCGGCCGTCCCGTCGGCTGCGGCCGGCGACGAAGCTGCGGCTATCTACAAACAGCTGTTGGCGGCCGTGCGCGGGGCGAACGCTGCGCAGCACGAGGCGGTCGTCGCGGCGTTCAAGTCGGACTGCCGACGCTATGGACAGGGAGAGCTGCGCGCGCGCGCGTTGCTCGACCGCCTGGCGACGTACTTTGGGGGAGCGCTCCTGTTGGATCCGATGCTGCCGCAGCTCGCGCGGCTGATTCCCGACGATCACAAGCGCAGGAAACTGCTGCGCGTGCACGCGAAACAGGCGCGTGCGCGAGCCAACGAGCAGGTGGCAGACGCGACGCTTTCGGGTCGGGTCGAGCGCCGCCGTCGGGGTCCGCTGTGTGGTGCAGTGACGAACCCCAATTTGTCGCGGCAGCTCGCGCGGACCCGACGGACGCAGTCGAACGCAGACGGCAGTCGCAGCAGTGACACGTCGAGCAGCACGAGCGGCGAAGTGGCGCCAGTTGCAACGTCGTGGGCCACGACGCGAGCGAAGACAGAGCCCGTGGCGTGTGCGATTTGCAGCGACGTGTTTGACATGCAACGACGGCGACACGCGTGTCGCAAGTGCGGCGCGAGTGTGTGCCACTTGTGTTCGCCCGCGAAGATGCTGCTGGCGCCGAGTCAAGTGGCGAGCGAAGAGCGACAGAAGCAGAAGCAGAAGAACAAGTACGATCCGGCCCACCCGCAACGGGTCTGCACGATCTGTGCGCCCGTGCTGCAGTGTCTGCAGCACGGGCTGAGTGCACAGTACGCCAACTGCCACAAGGAGAACCCGCACGAGGCCAAGACACGACTGCACCTGCCGTTTAGTCGGTCACTGGAAAGCGCGTGCCGCTCGGCAGCAGACATTGTCGGGAATTTCTTCCGACCAGGTTTCGGTGCAGCCAGTGACCGGTACATTCCTGCGGCGTTCCTCAAGCGAGCGCGCGGCATTGCGTTCCTCACGGTCGTCAAGGCAGGACTGCTCCTTACCGCCAAAGTCGGCACGGGGGTCGTCATTGCGAAGCTCGACAGCGGCTCGTGGTCTGCGCCATCTGCCATTGGAACTGCGGGCATTGGCGGTGGCCTCGAAGGCGGAGGCGAACTGATTGAGTTTATGATCATCATGGGCTCTGCGAAAGCCGTCAAGGTGTTTCACCGGACTCAGGTCAACGTCGGTGGTGGCCTGAGCTTGGCAATTGGGCCGTACGGACGCGACGCACTGGCGCAGGCCGCAGCGAGTCGCGGCGGGTTCAATGCGAACTACAGCTATTCCCACAGCAGGGGACTGTTTGCCGGCCTCTCGCTGCACGGCGCTGTCATTACGGCGCGCACGGAGATGAACCGCAACTTTTACGGCCAGCAGCTGACACCGGAGCAGATCCTGAGCGGCGCAGTGCCTCGTCCGCGCGCTGCGCAGTGTCTGTACGATGCCATTGACGGGGCCATGAGAGGAGTCGCACGCTTTGAAGCTGCGGGGAGAGAGTCGCAACGGCGCTCGTCACTGGCAGCCGCCGATGCAATGGGCCGTTGCAGCTCGTGTCGGTGCAACCAGTTCGTGCTCAAGGCCTTTTCGAAGAAGTGCAAGACGTGTGCCCATGTGCACAAAGCGGCCAAGTAGAGCAAGTCGACGCCTGGCGACGTGCACGCGGACGACGTCGAGAGACGGCGTATAATTTTGGCACTCGAGACATATCGATAGTGCATTGCATCGTCCATCGACGCGAGTGCTGTTGTAGTAACGACCGATGAGTCGATCACTACTGACGTGTGCTTTTTCTTCATTGACACGGAGTGATACGTTTGACTGACTATTTCTTCGACGCGCATGAGGACCTCATGCGTCACCGTCTCTCGCTTTGTTTAAAATCGCTTTTTCCTGCCCGACACTACTACAAAGAGAGAGAGAGAGAGAGAGAGAGAGAGAGAGAGAGAGAGAGAGAGCGAGAGCGAGAGAAAAAAAGCAAAAGCAACCGTGCGGGCCCCACCTTTTATCCGTATGTTCTTGCACTATCTCGATAGTATACGATCGATCGGATCGTTTGTATTTCTACTCGACACCTGCGTTTCTAAGCGATTCACACACCTCTGACGGTCATGACCGACCCGCGGAAGCGCCGGCGCTCTTCTTCGCGCTCTCGTTCCGCGAGCAAACGACCAGCGGCAGAGCTCAGCGGCGAACAGCGTCAGGAAGCAGAGCGCATTGCGGCCATTGCCCAACGAGCAGAAGAGCGCGCGGCGCAGCGCACGAGTGAGCGTCGAGCGACGCGCGAGGACGACGCAACTGCGACTTCTGCTGCTGTGGGCACGCGGAAGCTGCCGCTGAGGATCGGAGAAGCGGCTCGAGCGCTGCAGGAGCCTCTGGCGAAGCCGACGTTCCTCTCGAAAGCGCAGCGACAGCAGTTGGCGCTTGAGCAGCTCGAGAAGAAGCGGCAGGAGGTGCGTTGACGCACGTCTCTCTCTCTCTCTCTCTCGATGTCTCTCTCTGTGTCTGTGTCTGTGCGTCTGTGCGTCTGTACCTGTACATGGAGAACGCTGTGCTGATCAACTGAGTGCTGTGTGGGTATACTGTGTACACGACTGGCGCAGGTGGAGAAGCAGCGGACAGAGGCAGAAGCCGCTCGACGCCACTTTCTCCAGCGTCAACGGACTGAACGGGAGCAGGAACGGGCGCGCGCCACGCGGTCTCGTGGCGACGGTTCGAGTCGAGACGACCGCACGAGGACGAGCGCGAGAAACGCGCGGCAGGGCGCAGTCGTGACTGCGGATGCAGCGCGCAGCAGAGACGAAGCGGCGTCGGCGTTGCTGGACCCGAGCGAAGCAAAGGCCCTGCAAGCGCTGAAGGATCAGTACTTGGGCAAGACCGTCAAGAAGAAGAAAGTGGTTAAGGCGAGCGAGAAGTTTTCCAAGATCTTCCAGTTTGAGTGGGAGGCGTCCGAGGACACGAGTGCGGATTTGAACCCGTTGTATGCGAAGCGCATGGACGTGAACCTGCTGTTCGGACGAGGCTATCGCGCTGGTGTGGACATGCGTGAGCAGCGCAAGAAGAACTCGTTTCTAGAGGAGCTCAGCCAGAAGCGCCAGAAGGAACAGCAACTGGCCGATGAGACCAACAGCAGTCTGACGAGCGCGCAGATTGCCGCTCGAAAGCACGACCGCGAACGTGCTCTGCGCAGTATGCAGTCTCGCGAGCGGGACCGCATGCAGGAGATGGCGTCGCGAGAAGCCAAGACAATGGGCACGCACTGGTCGGAGAAACCGCTGCAGGAGATGAAGGAGCGCGACTGGCGCATTTTTCGTGAAGACTTTGACATAACGCTGAAAGGCGGTCGGGCTCCCAATCCTCTGCGCAAATGGGACGAAGCCGGCGACGTTCTTCCCGATGCTGTGTTCAAAGCGATTGACGAGATGGGCTTCAAGCGGCCGTCGCCTATTCAGATGCAAGCCATTCCCATCGGCCTGCAGAAGCGCGACATCATTGGCATTGCTGAGACTGGTTCAGGCAAGACTGCTGCCTTTGTTATCCCCATCATTGCGTACATTTACTCGCTTCCAGCGACGATGGTCGCGCGAACTGGCGAGCAAGGTCCGCTAGCGCTGGTCATGGCACCCACCCGCGAGCTGGCTTTGCAGATCGAGCAGGAAGCCATCAAATTGTGCAAGTACACGAGTGTGGGGCTGCCTGAAAAGCTGAGCCCCGTCAAGACGCTGTCCGTTGTTGGCGGACAAAGTATTGAGGACCAGGGGTTTCGGCTCCGCGAGGGCGTGGATGTTATCATCGGCACGCCCGGTCGGCTCATGGACTGTCTGGAAAGCCACTACCTCGTGTTGAATCAGTGCAATTACGTCGTGCTGGACGAAGCGGATCGCATGATTGACATGGGTTTCGAGCCTCAAGTGGTGGCCGTGCTGGAAAACATGGGCTCGCTGCTCAAGTCCGAGAACGAAGAGGAGATGGAACAGCAGCTTACGCTTGCAAATGGGGGCCAGGCAGGAGGAGAGCTGCAGCACCGCCTTCGCGTCACCACTATGTTTAGTGCCACAATGCCTGTCGAGGTGGAGCGGCTGGCAAAGACGTTCTTGCGGCATCCTTCGATCGTGAAAATCGGTGACGAGGACTCTGGCAAGAACAAGCGGATTGACCAGCGCGTGATGTTCATGAACGCGGGCAAGAAGCGCTCGAAACTGGTAGATGTGCTGCGTGATATCCTCAGCACGCAATCAGTCCCGATGCCGCGATCTCGGAAGGAGAAGGTTGTGGATGGCGCCAAGATCATTGTGTTTGTCAACATCAAGAAGGAATGTGACTCGGTCGCCAAGTTCATTTCGAACGAAGGGTTCCGCTGCACCATCTTGCACGGTGGCAAGACGCAGGATCAGCGCGAGGAAAGCCTCCGGATGTTTCGCGAAGGCTATTGTGACATGCTCGTGGCAACGGACGTGGCGGGACGAGGGCTGGATATCCCAGACGTGACTCACGTTGTGAACTTTGACTTGCCGTCCAAGATCCAGAATTACTCGCACCGGATCGGTCGTACTGGCCGTGCCGGTAAAGATGGTGTAGCCATCTCGTTTCTCACGGACAACGACGAAGAAATCATGTTTGACCTCAAGCAGTACCTCGTGTCCACGGAAATGCCCGTGCCAAGCGAGCTCGCAAACCATCCGTCTGCCAAGGCTGCTCCTGGTGCTCGCGACGAGAAGGGCAATGTCATTGCGCGGTCCAAACGCGACACGGTCATTTACGCCAAGTAGCTGCAGCAAACAGTCGATGCACTATAGCGGGACGCTCATCGGACACCAATCCCTTTCAATGCCAACGCTCTGTCTTCTTCCCTCTTCTTCTCTGCTGTTACGTTGTGGCTGTTGCTGCTCATGTCATTCAGCTTCGGTCCGACAAAACAAAGCGCCTTCACACCTGACGCATGTCGGTCCATTCGAGTCAGGTACCTGCACCAAACCGCCACCTTCTTCTGCGACTTTGTGTTCAGCCGATCTCAATCGATACGCCCACGTGGTGCGAGTCGCTGTCATAGTGCCGCAAGTCCATTTGCGCTGCTACGCGCGTCTTCAAGTGCTTTGACGTGCGCCACTCGAACGCGCCGATACAAATGCCGTCGGACCCGATCGAGCCAGACACAGTCTCCGTCGGACTCAGCGCGTACTTGCCCAGCACCCTCAGCGACCGATTGTCTCTTCTGCTGTCGCACACAAACCTCGAGCTCAGTGCCAAAAGCGGTGACACGGTCTGCGTCAAGTCCAATTGCACGGTCCGTCCACCGTCCTTTCTACCCTCGCCACATACACACACACACACAAAAAGAACCAGCATACCCAAAAGCGCACCATACGCCCACATTTCACCCAAGAAGACACATTTCACCCAAAAAACGACATCATCAAACACCACCAACACAAAAACACAACAACACAACAGCACAACAACACAAAAGCGTCACGAAACAGTCCGTATCCCGAGGTGACATGTGACATCCCCGTCTCAGACACACACACACACACCTCGTCGTCCATTTTGTCCGACCGACCGCTCGCTCCCACTCACACTTGCAGCAGCGTCGACAGCCCGTCGTGCAAGTAACTCGCACTCACGTCCAACGTCGTGCACCGTCCGCGGCGGTCGCTCCGGTCGAGTCCGACGTCGTACGCCGCAGCGCCGCCCGCGGCCCACCTGTCCCAGCGCCGCCACAGCGCCACCGCTACGGTCGGCCCATTGACCACATCGACGCAGACGTCGGCACAGCCGCTCCGACTCGCGTGCGTCGCCCCCAGACGCGCAAACGACAGCGGCACTTTCTCTGTCGCCGACTCGTGCGCGTCGAGCGTCCAGCAGAGCGCGTCGCTCGTCTGCAGCTGCGCGTGCAGCGACAGGCGGCGCGACGACGAGAGGCAGACGCGCGACGTCGTCATGGGGTTCCACTGGCTCTCGCACACGAGCGCCGACTCGACGCGGCGCCGGCCACGAGGCGCGACGCCCGACGCGACGGCGCCCGTCTCGAGGGTGAGGCGCGTGCCGCGGGGCGTGCGGGCGCGGACCGATAGGGCGTGGAGCGCGTGCGCGCGGGGCTCGAGGCGCTCGTCGTGCAGGCGCAGGTGCGCGGCGAGGAAGTCGTCGTACATTGTGCTCGAGGCGCTCGCGGGGCGGGGGGACATGGTCGGGCCAAAGTGCACGACCGGATGGGTTGAGGGAGGGGGAAGTGGCGGTGGTGGTGGTGGTGGTACCGGTTTTAGTCTTTCTAAAATGGACCATTGTGCTGTAGCGTGTCGGTAAACTATTGCGGGTGGGAGCTTTTTAGTATACGCATCGTGTAAATTACAGACGGTCGAGAGATGAGAAAGATAGAGGAAGCGAGCGGACAAGTGATTGTCTGTTTGAGCGACGTGGGTGGGAGCTTTTAGTATACACATCCTGTGAATCAGCGCAGTCAGCACGTCGCCCTATTGACGCACACCGTATCGGACGAACATCATGAAAATCGATTGTCGCAGTAGCAGCAGACAAGAAGAGGCACTGCTGCTTTGCATTGTCAGTCGCTGTTGACGCCAGGACGTGTTCGTTCGACAAACGATCGGTAGCAACTGAACATGTCTTCGGTCGCGTGGTGCAATGTCTGACGTGCAAGTCAAGCTGAGCTGCTCATCTGAGTACAGAGTTGGCTCAGACCGATAGTTCGCTTCCACTGGGATCCGACAAAGCATATCTGTGTATGGCTTTCGGTGGACAATCCGGTCGAAAAACACGTACTTGCGAAGCCATAAGCGTGAAGACTTTGTCCACACCGAACGTCTGCAGTCCGCATGACAGGACTGCAACACGCGTACGCGCACTGGAGGACGGCGCAAAGTCGCCTGCACTCTGCAACTTGCTGCACTCCATCCCCTTGCGAGCATGTGCTCTCGTTGTCTACGTGCTAGTCTTACTGTTTTGGTAGTCGCTTTCGCGGCCAGCATTGACCCGCAACTGAAGTGCGATGGTCACGTCCTTCCAGAAAAGCTCAGCTACGAGCGGTACATCTCGCAGCTCGTTATGCCAACGACAATAGCGTCCGTCGACACCGATCCGCTTGTGCTTGGCGGAGTAATTGTGCCGGTTGGTACAAAGACGTATACAACCGGCGTGCGCGCAACCGCCAACGGTACGGACTTTTGCGGCGGTTCGCTCATCACGCCGACGCACGTGCTTACGGCTGCGCACTGCATGGCTGGAGACATCCAGTACGTCTCAGTTGGCACTCACTTTGTCAGTGGCACTGACGATGGCGAGCAACTCAGGGTCGTCACCCAGACTCGCCATCCCAAGTACGTGAGTGCAACCAACTCGTACGACTTTCTCGTGCTAGAGCTGGAGAAAGCAAGCTCGTTTCGTCCTGTAGCGCTTCCGAAAGCAGACGCCAATTTGGGCGTCATCGACAGTTATGGCAATGCGACCGTCATGGGGTGGGGGGCGCCTTTTCAAGGCGGACCAATGTCCACCGAGCTACTGCGTGTCGACGTTCCGTTGGTGAACCACTCGGTGTGTGCGAAGGTCCTCGACGTGGACAACACAATGCTTTGCGCTGGCGGAGGGATCGACATGGATTCGTGCCAAGGCGATTCGGGTGGACCGCTCGTTCGAGAACAACTGGCGGAAGATGTGCTTATCGGCGTCGTGAGCTGGGGCAACGGATGCGGACGTGCAGGGTACCCCGGTGTCTACGCGCGCGTGTCGATTGCGACCGAGTGGCTGTCCCGCGTCGCGCCAGGGGCGACGTATCGCTAGCAGGAGAAGAAGATTGAGAGCCCACGAGTTACGTGAAAGCAGCTAAGCATCAATACTGAACGAAATGAAGCGACGTTCAGGTGATTGTCGGTCATTGCAATCGAAGCCAAACGCTGCTCGTGGACGACGTCGTCATAAAGCGAGCGCATCGCGAGCGGACTTCGTGTGCACGAGAGGAAGTAGGTTACAGAGTTCTTGCAGTCTGGCCAAGCACGAGTCTGTCGACAAGTCTGTGTACGCACGACTTTAGTCCGACATGTGAATGACAATCGTCTTTGACACGCATCCTGCATCCTAAGAAGATGCTAAATATATAGAACAGCTCAGACGCTAACGTTTTTCTCTATCGTGCGGGTGGGTGAGGAAAACATTCAATCCGCGAATAACGAACGAGGTCGGTGGGTACAGTATCTACTCGGAGAGCCTCGTGAAAAGAATATTCCGTCGGGATGGACACGAAACTGGATTTTACAGACAGACAGGCAGACAGACAGGCAGACAGACAGACCCCCTCGAACGAATGGTCCAGCTGCTTCTGAGCCTGCAGCGTCATTCACCGACAGAAACAGGTCCAGTGTATCTCGACTTGGGGGAACAGTCAGCATCAACTGTGCACCTGATCTACTCACTCGACAGCGCTCGACGTCCTCTTGAGCATGCGCGCAGCGAACCTCATCGTCTCCGTTGTAGTTGTTGCTGTCCTTCATGGCAGGCACCACGAAGCTCTTGCAGCGACAAAGTTGGGCGACGAAAAAGATTCGTCGCAGCGCGCGGTCACGAGTGTCTTCCGTACGTCGGAGGCTCCTCCCCCCATGGCTTCGACTGCACGCCACTTCTTGAGCGGTGAGGTGGTGAGCCCATCTGAAGAGCGAATGGGTGTGGAAAAGTCGATCATGGAAAAGGCTGTTGGGTTTGTGCCAAACGCGGTCGAGAAAGTAAAAGATTTCTGGAAGATACGATGGCTACGGGGGCAGATAGCCAAAGATCGTAAAGCGTTTGCACCGTTTCTCAAAAAGGGTATTACCCCCCGACACATGAGTAAAGCGTTACGGCTTCGGGAAGACGCCACGCGCGAGAATGATCTTAATATGCTGTCATATTACGAGGCGGAGTATGAGAAGCATGTTCTACGCAAGAAGCGCGCACGAAAGAGCAAGAAGTAGACTCAGATAATCGAGTTCGTGTAGTTGCGTCTGCTCGCTGTGCATGCTCGCATCTTGGCCCGATAGGCAAGAACACGGCTGCAAGCTCAAAAGTCCACATGATCGTATTTTCGTCTTCCTGCCTGCCCCATGCGGCGCTCATTTGGCTGGCCTGCTCACTCGAGCCGCCAGCTGCTACCCAATGCTCTTGCCGTTAAATAAATGTGTGGTCGCTTACGTGTCTCCCCTTGCATTTAGTGAAGCGGTCACGTGACACATAGATGTTGACTGGGAAACGGACTGACGAGGAGAAAGGCGTGATGGAAAAACAAACGGTTCTCGTCAAGTCGGCGACCGTGGACCTGAAGTAAAGCCAAGTGGTGCCTCCGTGTTTTCCATGATGGAACAACAGCAAATCTCATTGTCCTCTGGCTTAGTATCATACTACGTACGGTGCTGGCGCCAGAGGCTTCGACACGGCAAATGCATCTTGTTGTCGTGCCAAAATGGGTACCTTGTCATCAGAATCCGTTGTAGTGTCGCTCGGTAATGCCATACTGACTGTCTCAGGAACCTCGAGTGAATATGCAGATGGACAATCCCGAACGAGTGATGAACGGTCACTGTGGACAGCCACGCAGTTGTTTGCAGCCGATATGTGCGAATGGGTGTTATCGAGATGAGATGACTACCAAATTGTCACGATGATGTCCCGGGGAAGCTCATTTCATTCAGACTAGTAGCTGGCAGGTACAGGATGACTTTCGTGCGAAGCGACAGACTCGAGCAAGTTGGACAGCAAACCGTATTCCAGGCCTAGCGGTATCGCTGACAAAATTGTTCAGGAGCCAGCAGCATACTCGTCCGTGACGGTACTTTGTTGCGTCAAAAACGCGACGTCTCCTTCATCGTTCTCTGCGTCTTACAAGCAAGAGAAGCTTTTCAAGACCTCGAAGTCCCTGTCAGGTCTACCGGTATCGCAGTCGCTGCAACGCCACATCGTCATAACCATCGTTTTCTCGCCCTCCCAGTGACCAATCGTTGCTGTCGCTTAGGCTAGTCGCTCCCGTCGTCTATAAAGTGCTCTGTCCCTTCCTCCCGTGGTGCATCCCAAAGTGCACTATCCTCGCTTCGTCGCCATAAATATGCCCGTGAAGGAGCTCGTCAAGACACGCCTTGATCCATCTTTGTCGTCCATACCTTGAACACCAGAACATTCGTCCACGAACTTGCAGAACTTAGTAGCCAGCCATGTGCTACAGACCATCGGTGCCACCAGAAGCGTAAAGTTCGCAAGCCTGATCAACCACCTGCAGTCGTTTCACATCGTGTACGGATACCTGCACGACTGCGACTCGTTATCGTCTTGCTCGATTGGTTATGCTCACATCATTACGCCAATTTGTTGCAGCACTGCCTCGATGTACCTGCTTCCGCCGCTTTCCCACTTGGTCTTCACTATCACCAGCACCCAGCAATTCAGCCCACAAGCAAATTGACGCCACGACCTCACAGGCAGTCAACCTGTTTCGGCTTCCAATCGTAAAAGGCTGGAACTTTCGGACCCCATCACCGTTTCCCCTACACGACTACTACCCATGCAGCTTTCTCCGAACGACTCACCCGCACTTGTTTGTTTCCATACATCATCGTCAAACAAGTCCCCCTCTTTGTCTCTTTGATCTGTAGGGCAACAGAGGTGCAACGTGAAGTATCCCATTTACCACAGCCACCCGACGATCGCACTGTTCACGTACTCAGGCGACGCCAAGTACTCGTGTAGTAGTAGTAGTAGTAGTAGTAGTAGTAGTAGTAGTAGTAGTAGTAGTAGTAGTAGTAGTAGTAGTAGTAGTAGTAGTAGTGCCAGCAGTAGTAGTAGTAGTAGTACCAGCAGTGGTAGTAGTAGTACCAGCAGTAGTAGTAGTAGTAGTAGTAGTAGTAGTAGTACTAGTAGTACTAGTAGTAGTAGTAGTAGTAATGCTGCTGCTGCTGTCTTGCCATCCCATCGATCCTGAACGCACTACTTGACGAAACAGCAGATAACTCCATTCGCCGTATTAAGTCCGATTTCGCCTCACTGGTTCCCCAAGCACGTGGGGGTCGCAGGCAGTCGCGCGACCTGCAGCTCTGCTCGTGTTTTCCTCTCGCCGCTCTGCTCCTCTTGCAGTCCACTCGACCGCTTCCACATGGGCCGTCAACCGCGCAGGCGAACGCGTGCACACGGCGCAGCTGCACACGCGACCGACTCGTTGCGGCCACACACATTGCCCACAACCGGAGACCCTCTCGGCGCCGCAGCCGTTGCGGCGGCTTTCGGCGATGCCGATCCGTTGGACGACCACAGCCAATGGAATGACGAGGAGGGCGACGATGACGAGTCGGCAGCTGATGCGCAGAGCTTGAGCCGCGGCCAGCGCAAGCGCCTGAAGCGGCGCACTGCGTTCCTGCGCAAGATGGGTCTCGCGTCGCGCGTGGCGCTGGAGCAGCAGAGGCAGACAGAGACAGAGCGACACGGCGTGTTTGCTGACCTGGACGGGCTGCAGATGTCACTGATGCAAGCGGAAGAGGACATGAAGAAGAAGAAGAAGAAGAAGATGGAGGGGAAGGGCCAGAGCGACCGGAAGACGAAGAAGCCAAAGAAGCTGAGCGGCCGGCAGCGCCAGAAGCTCGCAGTGCGCGAGCTGGGCCAGTTGAAAGCCGTGCAGACGCACGCGGGGTTCCAGCAGGACCCGTTTGCAGCGATTCAGGTCCATCTGCAGAATACGGTCGTGCAGGCGAATCAGGAGCTGCTGCAGAAGAGCAAAGCCAAGCAGAAGCGGGGAGCTTCGAGCATGGATGTGGACGTGGCCTAGACTACGGAGTGTACAAGTACATACACAGATTGATTCGACAAGGCGGTGTGTGTGTGTGGTCTTTTTCGTGAGGATGATTGATGATGCGTAGGGGAGACTGGAGCTGAGCATTTTGGTGGTTGTAGAATCGACACCGGTGCTACGAGTTCCTGTCAGTGGGTGACGCTGGTAGACGAGTCTCGACGGAGTCGATCGTGTTGCAGGATTCTGTGTGGACGTTGGCCTTGAGCTTGTTAGACATGTTGGAATTGACGTGCAAGACAGGAAGCGACGGAACAGAACAGCTTCTTAAGCTCCGACTCGACGACTGTACTGATGTCGTTTGCACCATGTGGCCTTTTCCACACTGAGGTATCCACCGAGGTAGACACACCTCGGCTCAACTGTTTTCGCTACTGCCACGCGACTTGCCATCGCAGGTTGTGACATCAACAACAGTTTTGTCCCTCACCTTCGGTACGTGCGGTATCGCTCGGTGCGATTCAGGGAAGTCGGCTGGATCAATGCAGTTGGCAACGTCGTGGCAGAGTGAATCGACAGCGCGACGTCGATGTGTTGTCGGTCGGTCGTGCATCAATTCCGTGCGAGTTTATTCTTGATACACACCATTGTGGTGCGCAGTGATTGCTAAAGTAGCAGATGGGAGTACGGCTCAGTGGCATCTATCTCCGTCTTTAATCGAGCTCTACGTGCTGAGGTTACCACCGTCTTTGGTTGAGCATGTCCGTACTAGTGCTGCGCGCGACACCGTGTCATGCGGTACTTTGTCAGTAGCTCAAAGCTGTACAAGAGCCTCAGCGTTTGGCTTTTGCCACCCCTGTCAACTATGACACTGATCCTAGAGCGTTCGTGAGCAAGTCGAGTCACTCGTTGCTGACCGAGTGCTCGGGAACAACGAGATCGTGGGAATCGACAGTATCGGATGCAGGATCAACAACGCGCCATTGAAGCTTGGGCGTGTTGTCTAGGCTGACTTTGCCAGCTACTCCGGATGTGCCGGCTTTATCAAGTCAATAGCCAAGTCAACGTCCACACGTTCCGGGCAGCAGAAATACAAACCGTACATCTTCTTCAGACACGGCGTCATTCAAGCGACTTCATTTCTCACGTTGCAGGCTTTTCTTTTGCCGAGAGAGTCGTCTACTGCAAGGATGCAATCCTTTATGGTTCAGGCAATAAGCTTATCGAGCTTGACCCACCGGTAAAGTGTTTTACTCAATCAGTCGATTTTTGTCGCCCATTCTGTATCTACGACTAAAAGTGGCAGCCGGGCGCTACTGAAGTAGTGGCTGAAGAAATGCATTGTAGAAGTTGGGCTCTGCAGACCGCATATGAGCAGCATGTCAGGGCACGGTATCGGCAGTGACAAAGACTTCCGCCTTTGCTATGGCGTCGACGCTGATTGGTATCTCTGTACCAAGATCGCTCTAGATAGGATGTTACATGACTTGGAGAAGAACAATTGGTGCCGGGTTTGCAACCTTGTTCAATAGTCTGCTGCAGGATAGGGCGCCGATAAGGTGCATGCAATATTCTACCCTTGCACAAAAGGTCAGCCATTGGATCATCGAGCTGAGCCAAACCCTTACTCTTTCCGGGCGCGGATGCCTCTATCTAGAATGAGGTCTAACTTCGGCTGAAATACAAGCAGGATGCAGGCCAGGAACTGCTTTGCGTCAATCCAGTAGATGCGCAGAAATCAGACCACTTATCCATGATTCCCGATCGTAGCGGGATAGCGACGCGCAGCTTTCATCTGCCCTGCTTCAACAAGCTGAAATTCCACCGATACCTCACATCGCTCTTACCCACTTACACCTGCACGAGACTTTCGCACAGCACGTGCAAACGACAGCACTCCTACTCCCCACTCTCACGTCGCAGCCCATACGTCATCGCCCACCGACGAAACCCCAATTCGAGTCCAGCGGACGCCCCGTCTCCGATAGCGTACCGCCTCATCGGTCCCCACCACCGCTCGCGTCAATCGCAATCCATTGACCCCCAAATATGCCCACACTGTACGTCGGCACATATACCCGCAAAGAAGCGCACGTCGACGGCCACGCAAAGGGCATCTACGCCTACTCGTTCAACGACGTCACGGGTGCCCTTAAACTGCTTCACGTCGCCTCAGACGTAGGCACGAACCCGTCGTACGTGGTCGGGACCGCCTCGACGCTCTACGTCGTGAACGAGTGCAACGCCGCGTCAACGCTCTGTCCAAACGCCGTGACGGGGTACGTCGCTGCGTACGCCACGAGCCCGAACGGCCACTTGACGCCCCTTAGTCGCCACGAAACGGGCGGCGCCTACGCCTGTCACGTCGCCCTCAGTCCGACCAACGACTTTGTCTCCGTGGCCAATTACGCCGGCGGGTTGTCGCTCTTCCCCGTGCACGCAGACGGGTCGTTGGCCCCGGCGTCGGCCCACTGCCGCCTCGAGGGCGCGAGTTGCGTCCGTCCGGACCGACAAGAGGCGTCGCACATCCATAGCACAGTGTGGACGTCCACGGGGCTCCTCGCGGCCGACTTGGGCACAGACGCTGTCGTGCAGTACACACTGAATCGACGCGACCAGCGGCTCGAGCGCCAAGGGCTCATTCCGTGTCTTCCGGGCGCGGGGCCCCGTCACATGGCGCTCTCGCTCGAACTCGGCGTGTGCTACGTGCTCAACGAGTTGGACAATACCGTCTGCGTGCACGCGCTCGACGCTGCGACAGGAGCGCTCGCGCACGAGGCGCTGCAGGTCGTCTCGACGCTGCCAACAGACTACAACGGACCGCCTCCGCTCGCGTCGGACATTCACATTGCCCCGAGCAACAAGTTCGTCTACGCGGCCACGCGCTTTAGCGACACTATTGCCATCTACCGGATCCGCCCCGACACGCGGCTCGCGCTCGTGGACATTGTGCCGACGCGCGGTGCAACGCCACGCGATATCCTCTTGTACAGAGACTTTTTGCTGGTGGGACATCAGGACTCGAACAGTCTAGACGTCTTCCGTGTGGATGCCGACACGGGGCGCGTCACGTACACGAACCACTCGATCGAGTGCCCGTCGCCCGCGTGCATGTTCATAGCCGAGTAAGAGGAGAGGAGAGAGAAGAGAAGAGATGAAATGAGATGAGAGAGAGGGAAAGAGACTTTGGTGCTTGTCAACGTCCTCTGCTTTTCCAGCTTCTCGATCCCCGATATCTCTCAAGACCCTTTGGAAGTTGAAGTTGACCCTTTCGAGGCGTGCCAGCCACCCATTTCGTATTGGCAATTGATGGTGGCAGCACCGGTGGCCCTTGTGACTGGAGGCAGCCGCGGCATTGGCTTTGCTGTAGCGCACGAGCTCCATCGTCGCGGCTGGCGCGTTGCGCTCACGTCTCGAGACCTGAAGCGAGCGCAAGAGGCTGCAGAGCGCATTTCGTCCACGGTTTTGCCGCTCGCGTACAGCTGTCCAAGACGAGGCGACGACAGAGGAGGAGACGCGAATGCTGAAGCGGCGCAGGTGGTGGCTCAGGTGGCCCAACAATTTGGATCGAGTCCAGCAGCTCTCGTGAATGCAGCGGGGGGGACCAAAGACAGTCTGCTCTTGCGGCTTCAGCAGGCGGACCTCGACGAGCTCCTGCTGACAAACTTAGTGGGACCTCTCTACATGAGCAAAGCAGTGGCGAAAGGAATGATCGAGAGACGACGAGGCAGTATCGTCAACATTGGGAGTGTCGTGGGGGCTGCTGGTAACACTGGGCAAGTGGCGTACAGCGCATCAAAGTCTGGACTTCGAGGCGCCACGAAGACGTTGGCCAAGGAATTGGGGACCCGAAACATCCGCGTGAACCTGGTGGAGCCGGGCTTCATCGCCACCGACATGACGGACGCCATGGCAGAGGCTGCACGGGAACGTGTGCTTGGCAACATCTCGTTGGCTCGTTTTGGAACCGCACACGAAGTCGCGCAGCTCGTGGCGTTCTTGGCAAGCAACGAAGCGTCTTATATCACGGGCCAGTGCATTCGCATCGACGGTGGGCTCGTGATTTGACCGGAAATGTGGTTGCACGGGCGCTGGTTTGACTCACACACACACACGGACTGCGGTTGTGTGTGTACCCGACTCGACGGCTTGTGCTGCCTTTGGTGCCGGCGTCAAAGACGCGGTGAACGAGGCTGGAGCTTGTGGTTGATAGCCAACGAGACGGCGATAGGCTGGCACGAGTGTCATGTGTGAAGGGCGGCAGCCTGGTCAAGTTTATGATATTCCAAACGATTTTGCAGCAGCGGCTGTATTCCAAAGCCTCACGTAGCACTCTGTGTCAGGTTCATCGATGCGTTGACATTCGCGTGTAGCAGGGGTTCCATTCTGCTGCTTACTTCTTCAATACGTGTAGGTCACGTCAGGGATTATTAACGGCCTTGTCGGATGGACGAAAGGAGAGTACGGATGGGTGTGCAGTCGACCTCCGTTGGTAACCCAGTTGTGCTTCATTGATCTCTTTGTTCAGCCACGTGATTACTGCGTCAATAGAATATGGCAACGTCAGATCGAAAGAAAATGGGCGACTGGTACGCAGAAGCGGCCCCTAAAACGTACCTTGTTGGTTCGATGCAAGTAACTTGTTGCTGTCCTCCAGCTTCTGACTCAATTCTTTCACTGTGCCCTGTCGTACATAACCAACAAGACGTAGCGCGTGAGACCGAAGTGAATACCAGAGAAGCAAGCGTCATTTACGCACCTTCAAGTGTAATATATGCTCGTCTCGCTTGCGAACATCTTCTTTAGCTGACTTGAGCCCCAGAACTGCCTCCTCATGCTGGACTTGCTTTTCCTTGACAAACTACAGACACATGTTCGTGATGGAGCATCAGACGTGACACTTGGCGATCACAACCTCGAGTCTTCAATACCTGTTCTTGCTGCTTAATAATCTTGGCTTTCATCCGCATCTTGGACTTCAGCGTACGACTTTCGTTCTGTATACGATCGATGATGTCGTTCCCCTGGATTCAAATCCGCACCGTACAGCAGCGTTTGGTAAAGTGCAGTAGTGTCCACAAAAACTGTCTCCAAGGTAGAGCTGCTCACCTTGTTGATCTCCGAGATACTTAACTCCAGCTTCTGTTGGAGCCTCGCGTGGTTGTCTCGATACATCTTCAATGACTCATCGACTTCCTCATTATGCAGTCTCGCAGATTGCAAGAGACCTGCGGTCTTCTTGACGACGTCTTCCTTATCGGCAAGTTGCTCCCGCACCGCGTCTACCCGTAGTTGCAACGCATTTATTTGCTTGTCTTGCTCAAACACTTTTTGGTCTAGCTCTTTGTTCTGATTGCGTAGCTTGTCCACCTCGTCTGATAGCGCATTCTTTGTCTGACCGAGGTCTTCGGTCTGAGCTTGCAGATGGGCAATCTGCGCTTCGTGCTGATACTTTTGCTTGGACAGATCGCGCACTTGCTCCTCGTTTGCTCTGGCTGTAGCCTTCAGCGCTTGGAGCTAGCACACATATACGCACAGCAGTCACGTTTACCGATCGCTATCTGTCATACGAGCTTCACTTACCTCCTTCTCGTGTCTTTCCAAAAGTGCGTCAATTTTGGCAGTGAGCTCATCTTCACGCGTTTTCAACGCAGTTGCTGCCTCTTGTCGCTGAGCGTTCAGTGCATCTGCAAACTTACTTTTCTCCTGCAAAAGCGTCGACTCTGCCTCATTGCCTAATGCCGACAACTGATGCGCCAGTTTGGCTCCATTCGTCTGTGCAAGCTGCAACTCGTTCTTCACCTGCTTCAACGACGTTGACAGCAAACGTCGACTTGCTTCTACCTGCGCCAACCGCGACGCAAGGTACGTCTTAACGGCCACATCGTCACCTGGTGAAAACCTCAACGACAGGTGCGTTAATTGCTTGAATGGGTTCGTTTCCACGATACTAAACACCGACTGCCCGTTGCTATCCGACGTGTTCAACACTGCCAAATAGCTGGACAAGCAAACGACGATCACAAGAAACGCACACGATACTTTGTCCATACCAAACGCTCTCCACAACATGACACCAAAACAGCATTCCACGCGGTCGCACCTCAACGGAATAGGTCCAGCGGACCTCGTTTTCTGATTGAGCCCAACCTCGCCTGGCTTTCTCGGTGCTGCAACAGCTATGGCCTCGTCACGACTGCAGACCTCGGCTTCTGTGCCTTCTCCTCCTGCACTGTTGTTGCTGTCCTTGAGACAACATTGCAGCAACTCAATGAGGTTGGCTGGAAACGTGGCGAAATCCACGAGCAGTCTCTGCTGCGTCTTCAGCTCGTGAAACTCTTCCTCCGAGACGCGCCAAAAGTAGAGAAAACACGGATCGACGCCGTCGTCATCAGTGATCTCCACACGCATAACGTGTTCCTTTTGGTTCTTCGTATGGTTTTGCTGGTGTTGTCATGGGAAATGGTATGCCGCACGATCGTAAGTGGTATGAAGCGATGCAGTGTTTTGGCAGTCGTCTGTTCAGAAAAAAAGAGGCAGAGAAAAGCACAGCAACGCAGTGACGTACGCGCACACCAGTGAGCAGACGAATGGTAAGTGGCAGCAGCTTCTCGTCACGATTGGGGTACTGCACGAGCACGTGGAACCGCTGGTCGAACAGCGGCGCCTCGCGGTCGTATTCCTCCATTTTCTTAAGTCGAAACTTGAGACTTCGACGTGCTGGACGTCCTACTTTTAGATACTCAAAAGTCGATTGATGCCGCGCAAAATGGTGGTCTGGTTTTTCCAGGTAGAAAACCTAAATATCGTTTTTCACGATGAATTGTAGTCAGTATTTGGAACAATCCCTGCGTACTCATGTACGGATGCACGCGCTTGCTGGCAGCCGTCGGGCACTTAAGCGATCGCTTGCATCGTAAGGCGATGTCTTAGCTGTAGGGCGCTCATGTTTGCCCCAACATGCAGTTAGACTGGATGACGTGCGGTTGATCGTGTCTTATGCTGACTTTTTCGAACATAAGAGTAGCCGGAGGTAAACAAGGCATGGATGACTCGTGCCTGATGACGGTGTTATGAGAGTCTGTAAGGGTAACACTGTACACTGCGAGTGAATCAAAACTTCACGTACCCTTTTGTGCAGACAGCGCAGGCAAATGCACAAGATCTGCGTGTCAGAATCATATTGGAGCTACTCTATTTGCGAGCCTGAAGGGCGAAGTTTTGATACAGCGTGTGCGTAAGGTGGTAACAGACTAGTGATGATAGCCGAAGTTCTCGACAGCTCTTAGCGGTGTGTGTCTGTATATCCATTTGCCTGTCTCTCTGTGAGTCACGCGGTGTCCCCTGCACATTGATAGAGTCTACAACTTCACATGTCATTTATGTTGTTTGCTCAAAAAAAGTGAGCAATAGCAAAACCATATGACATGACGATACACGCGCATCAAGACAGGCGCTGGATCGTATCGTTATAATCTAGACAAGCTATAGATCCCGCATGAATTGGCTTTGTCGCACTGTCAAGCGCTCATCACGTTTGGCACGTATCGGTCATCTCGTTTCGTATGCCATAATTAGAGAAATTATACATCCCGAAAAAACTTTCGACACGACTTTTTATGAACCGGATAATCGACAATGTCAACATCGGAGGCGCAATCCGACTTAGTGTACAAGCATAAAACCTTGCTCCTTCATTTGCTTGTACGTTCAACGGCCCAGTTCCTTCTCACTCAACGATAACTAAATATTTTAAAATGACCAATTTGTAGTACAATGGGAAACTATTCCTCAGACATTTTTAGGTATGTAAGCGTACTCACCGCAAACGGCTCAATGACTTATCGTCCAGTCTATGCTACATTGTACTATGTGATCTTGCTCTACAGCGTGGCTGTTTGCCACACCACGATGTTTTTATGGTCGCGCAAATGTCGTACACAATCGTATCCATCGCAATGACTCATTTGAAGTAACTTGCTCGTCAAAGCTTAAAATGCTCTCCACAATCCAATCATACGTTAAGTATGACCTGCCACGACAAAAACCATCATTATGCTGTACATCTTGTAGCATTTGATGTATACTCGATCTACGTCTCTTTAGTAAAGAGCAAATCACATTTTGCCAAGCGCGATTTTGTAAGCGCTGAAACGTTCCTGTGCTTATCTACACTGAAGTCTTATATGATGTAGCTTCTGTTGCCTGTAAAAAGTTTAATACCCTCACAATCTTCCAGGGCACGAAGTGATCTATATACCAGCGCCACAAAGTATATGTGTGTTGAAAGCAATCTTTGCAAGATGTCAGCGAGTTCTCTTGATGTTGTTTGATTACTAAAGCATTTCTGCCCAACCTATCCCAACCGTTTTTGACGATCTGCTACGCTGCTGCGACTTTGTAACAATTTATGATCCACGTTCATGATCATTTCTGGTAGCCGTTCAACCGTCTCGCAAATTTGGCGGGATAATGGGTGTAGGCGCTTCGCATTTAGGAGTAGTGCCCTAACTTCGGACAACGAGTGCATCGTTACTGCATGTCATAATTATAGTAGGGCTCTTGCTCTTATCATTATTAAGATCCATGGTCTATGGACATCCATTTCTTGTCGTCTTAGTGAACGATTTAGCTCATATTCAACTTTTATATATAGCTGGAGTCCTTTTGTTCGATCACCAAACCAGCTTGGTCACAGTTTTCATTTCAGAAGTATAATGGTCGTGACGGTGCCAGGTGCGATACCTATGATGAACATAGCAACTTGTATTTGTACATCAAAAAGCTTACAAAGATACAGCTCACAAGGCTTCCTTTGTGTTACGCATAAGCGTGTATGTCACGCATTTACTGCTTCAAGTCCGGTATATCTACTCGATCCCTCCATTACGACCATGGACTTTCATATGTTTGTCACTAAGGAGACTGTAATTTGTCACACGAACATGGAGCTTACGGCTAATCTACCTATGATCGAGCCCATCCAATTCACTTTAGCCCACTCTACACCGATCAAAATTGGCGAAGCATTAACTTGTGGCGTAAAATCTGTCCTCATTAGTCGTTTCCTGCCGGACTGGTCCGCGATTTTTGGATGAGATGAGAAGGTCTATCAGGTGTAACGAAGAAGCACGTCCAATACTATGGACTGTACAAGACGACCTACTATGGTTACAAAGGACATGCGCAAGTGCCTTAAGACTCTTCGAACACTAGATAAAGAAGAGATAACTAGACAACCGGTAATGCGTAAATACAAGTCAAAACAGCACTGTTATGCATCGGTAAGCTTATCGGATTGTAAATTTGATATAACTTCACCATGTTTATTAGTACAAACACAAACTTCAACTGTACAATTGTCAAGGCTTCTCTTAAGAACGATAACATTCGCCTTGATATTTGTTCGTTTCGGTGCCATGTGACGGCATCATGCCATTGCAGCGGTTCATTCGCGTCTGGTCCACGAGTCTTATTGTTGCAAATAGGTTTCTGCAGCGTCAACAATGCCTCCTCTCTTTCAAATCAATCGTACTTATCCCTTATGTGTCTGTCGCTGGACTTGTCGTAGGCTGCATCTCGCTGCATACGAATTGCGGTGTCATATTCGAATTCTGCGATTGCTCAGTCAAGCTCCTTATAACCACAGTTTGTCGTGCATCAGCATATTTCTGCTCACTTTTACACGATTTCACTGGAGAGAACAGTCAAGTACAACGCAGGTGGTAAGGGATTTGCTATTGTATGGATATAATCCGTCAATGAAGCTTAATATCATTTTGAAGCCGACAATCGTGCATATGGAAGTGCTGGTCAATTGTTACATCTACTGATGTGAAGTGACAAGGTGGTGATAGGTAGACCAAATCGATCACTTCTGTGCTCGGAGGTTATGAAGACTGAAACGTACTTTATCAGTCTCTTTACAAATTTACTTCCGTGCTAACAGCCATCAACCCACAACAAGCTCAACCTTCAGTCTTCGCCCATTATAGCTGGATACCGTCGCCTGTCAACTCCGCTATCGTTAGCTTTTTGTCGGGTCCCATATCCGTATTCCAGCACAAGGAAGTCATTTCTTTCTTAGTAGAACCAGAAAAGCATGGTAGAAGCGCTCGGAATGGAGACTTTGCTGATAAGAGGGGGTGAAAACAAAATCATGGCATCAGCATATCGTACATGCTATGGAGTAAACGGTGCAGGGATTGGGACGAAATAATGATTGTCATATTGATGATGGGTTCTTTACCTGTACCAAATAATCACGGAAATAAAAAAATGCACTAGACCATACAAAACGCATAATATTTGCAAGAATGCACAACTCGATTAAAAAACATGAAATAAATGCACGAAGCTGGAATCATGGGAAATGGCACCAGCAATGCATACTATACGAACGACTTTATACATACCAGGGTTCAAACGTTTCCGCCCACGACACGTCGCTTGACGGATTGCAAGAAGGACATAACGCATTGACGTTTGTAAACATAGCCTTAGAGTATAGCTTATCTTTCGTGGATAAGACCACAGTTCTTTCATCTGCAACGTCTTCATCTTACTAATTTGACGCTGTGATAATGCGATGCTGTCGTCTCGGCGATATCGTTTGTCTGGATGGGATGACAGGCGCCGTGTTCACATGGCGCGTACACGATATATTAGTAGATGTGTGAGGCACGACTCAACGAACCCTTAAGCGATGGACAAGCGTGGCAACAAGAGCAAGGCTGTACATTGGAAGCTGACGAAGTAGTTTTGGTGCGATTGCTGGTGGTCATGTATATACTTGTCAAGAGTAGAAGCGTAACTATCATGTTGAGCATCAAGAGTAGGGGCGTATGCAACCGGACAAGAAAGGCATTTGACATGATCTCTTTGATATTGGCAACTTCAAGGCAGACCCATGCTTGCCAGCGACGACATTCGAAAGGCTGTGTGAATTTCGATTGGTTACAGTTTGTCTAATGCGTCGGCCGCTGACTTGTTTAGTCCTGTTTTTTTAGGCTGCAGAATTGGCAATAAGCTTCGTGTTGCCTGTGCGTGGTGGTGCTAATGAGCTGACACTAGATTTACAATATTTGATCACAGAACGACCGATAGATCGATCCGACACCCTCGAATGGCCAGAAAGGCCCAGTCACCTTTCAATTTGCTGCGACGTCGGTTTGAATACCATCAGCAAAATCGCTATTGTCTAGTGTAATATACATGATAAATTCGAAGATAAAGTATACATCTGCGGTGTGATGTTTTGCTTCGTACATATGTCATGCATGTCTATACTACCTTTTCTCGTTTCGGGATCATCTGGTACATCATAAAGTTTCCCACTTAGCTGAAGTGTCTGTGCTGCAATATTGACGAGAGGCGTGTGGCATACTGCCGAAGCGTGCAGCGATCTCGCGCGAAAGACAGCAACAATATAATCGGACTCAAGTAGGTCTTCTGTACGACGGTTTTTGGTACACACCGATTTCGGGTTATCGTCCCAAACACATTGATTCAATATCTCGTAACATGGCTCAAAAAAGCTCTTTTCCGGCTTGCGTTTGGGCGACTGATAGTAGGAACATACTCACTTCACATTCTTCTTAACCCGTGTCCTCACAAGCCAGTCACGTCACCTACAGGCGGGATCCGCTGGAAAAGCCGCCAGCAGCAGCAACACCTCCAGTCTGCGGC